CCTTTACTGCACAATACCAGACCACCGTCCTTCCTAAGTTAAGTTACCCCACCCCTCTCAGAAGTCCCAGTCCTCTATCTCTTCATCTTCGTCTTCATCACTGAAGTCGTCCTCCTCGTCGTATACCAACTCCCATACCCCATCTAGAAACGTCTCCCCTATTGCCACATTCCTGTAGGCTATCCCCCAATGCACAACGCTAGGGACAAAGATATTGTCTATGCTAAGGTAGTTTAGTATCTCGGCCAGCTCCTCCGCCCAGTTCCCCTCGAACGGCCCCATCTCTACTGATAACCGGAAAAAATCTTGCCTAGCGCATTGGTATAGCCCGAGGTTCGTCATAGACTGGCATATTCGCACTAGCCTGCTCCGAGTTCCGAAAACCGCATCCACTAGGGAGGAGGGCAACACGCATCGCATGGTTCTTACGGGTCGCTTCATGCTTTCTCTATCCCCAAGTTTCACCCGTACGTCTATCTTTTCCATTTCCATTTCCCTCCGTTGACATGCAGCCCACACAACCTCTGCTTCTGCCTTCCTAAACAACTCGCCCGGTGTATTCTCGAGTGCCAACTCTATGATCATAGCTTTCTCCCCATCTTGCAACAAGTAGACCCACCCTCGGGCTTCCACTGTCCCCCAGAATTCCAAATCCATTAAACTTGGCGACAACCTTGTCAAGCTGACATTAGTCCATACTGTTTCTATCGAAAGAAAAACATCCTCTCCTTCCAACATTACCGTTTGATATGCTGGTTCAAGGTCCGTCCACGTTCCATTTTCTGAGAGGACGACCGATACCCCATCCTTTACATCTACTGGCATTTTCGGGCCGCTAGTATAGATCGGGGAAGGCAACCATCGCGCCATCTTGTTTTCAGCACCCGACACCTGTTTTCATAAAAAGAGCATCAACCGGTCCTTTTGGTCAGGTCTACCCTTGCCCTAGATGAGAATTATTTCAGACCCCTCATCAAGGTCTTCCTATTTTACCTTCCCATTCCTAAGCACCTCCTTCCCATAATTCCCTCGGCCGGCCATTCATTTGCCCACATTCTTTCTCTTGGTTCCATTCCAACTGACCTCTATCCTTCCTCCTTCCGATCATCTCTCACTCGTGCGGACTTAGATAGGGGGGGGGGATAGACTTAGAAATATTTTCCGTCCAACAGTCCGAACTCAATCAATTTTTACAGAGGGGGAACACATAAAAAAAATCAGGCAACCTCACATACGGACCGATCATCTCCTCACCGGCCATCCCTAATATGGTCTCTCCGCTGGTACTATCGGTAGAGTTTTATCCCATACCTCAAGCGCAGCTCAAACGTCGCGAGCGCGGTACCGAGGTCTTGGCAAGGCATTCGCCCTTTCCTCCTTACCCAGAATACCCCATCCCGTCTTGCCGCTTTGCACATGCATACCGACCCCGAGGGTTACCTCGAGTGCCTAAATACAGGGACAAAGTCAGCCGTCAGGGCATTCACTTCCATCGGTCCGACAAGAATCATCCTTTCCCAAAACCATGCTACGAGAGGCTACTAATCGCCTCCAAGGCTCCGTCTTTGTCCGCATGCAGTGGTACTCCCTCCGCCAGCCAACAGGCTAAGCCCCGCCTGAGGAGATTTCACACCCCGCCCAACAGATCATCGAGCCAAAGCCCGTCACCGCTCGAACGAGAATGCTACTAATCAACCGACGTGACAAACTCCCGTCCGACAGCTCGATGGTCTGACCTCCACATACGAACACACGGCAGCCTACAAAAGAGAACGACGTTTCGCAACCCGCACTGGCCGGTGCAGACCAATCCTTATCTTCCGATAGGCACAACGCTCGAATCCCATCATGCAAACACAAGTCCCAAGTGGGACACACATAGTACAAGTGCCATTCCCTTGGTGCAACCAGCGCTTCCTACCCATAACTCACAGATTTTCTCTCAGGACAATGAGTGTCACTCCCCTTACTTTCATACATAGTGTTTGGTTCCTTCTCACGAGAATCTTCAACGGGTGAGCTAGTTTTCCTTGGAGTCTAGCAACTCCCTTCATTTCCCTTCTCTTCGCTTGTCTGTCCTTTCATAGGGTAGGATTGTTCTTTCTTGATGACCCGTTGTGTTCATATTGGTTCCTTCAATCATTAAAAAGGTGCAAAGTGCATGAGCCCGCTGGGCTCAAAGAAGAAGGGGAAAGCACCCATTCGGTCGGATCACTCCGCCATGGGATTTTCATTGGAAACTGGCCTAAGCCAAGCACCAACCGCCTGCCAGGTAACCGGAGCCCTTCTTTCATACGAAGAGGAAGGGTCGACCTGCGACTTGCCCAAGGCTTCCCCGGACTGGAGAACACCAGCACAGGACGAAGGAGGGTTAGAGCCATTCCTCAAAGGAACGACTGATCAAGTGCATAGCATGCATGTTATACCTCCAGGCCTGGCCATGCCGTGCGCCCAGCCACCCTCAAATCTGATTTCTCATAAGGGAAAGAGCAAACACAAGTCCATTTTCCTTATCTTGGGTTGTATACATGTCAATGCGTCGGCAACCCCCGTCGGAATCGCAAGGGTCAATTTAACCCCATGCCCGTCACCTCCACCATTTTTGTAGGGCCAAACCCCGGTAGACTTTCGAGCCTTAGTCGGTCCCACTGCGGGTCCCAGTTGGCTCGGCCCGCCCACGCTCATGCTCGGGGCGCGAGCCGTTCGTCTCGAGGTCACCTCCACCTAGTGCTTTGAGATGGATGGGGGTGGGTCATCGCGCGAGAGCGCTTTGACATTGGGGATGTAGCTCAGCCCTCACGCCGGTTGGTAGTCTCGCTGGTCGTTTCGCCACGCTGATTTTTGTTTGGTTCTTTGTTGTGTTCTCACACAATTGCTCCTTCCAATACGCAGGCAGTCCAGGGGTTCTTTGGGCGTTTCTCTTCTCTTGTGCGTAGGCTAAGCGTCATCCTTAGGCCACGCACCTTTCCCTAAGCATTGTGGCTATATGGCGTCATCGGGGTGCGGCGGAGCCGTCCTCCCCCTCGCCTCTACGCATCCATTGGTCTCACAATTTGCTGTTTTCCTTATTGAAGTAGGCCCCTTAGTCCTTTCGGGGTCCTCATATGCATGCACACATAACATCACAATTTCCTTGGTATGATTGCACTCTCATTTCCACTCCAAGTCCTCACGCGCCAAAGTCATTCCCATGGGTTGGCTCTATGTCAAGGGTTCCATAGCCCCTTTGTCCCTCTTTCCTTTCACTCTTGGCGCCTAGTTCCTCTCGCCCCTGTCCCGCTCAAGGCATTTCTAGCCACCACTCACCTGCACAATCCCACACAAGCAAGAGAATTCATACAATCCCGCGTTGGGGGGGTCAACACATAGCCCTTCCCACATGCCTATCTTTTCAAATCCTTTGGCTGCTCTTTGTTCCCTCTTGATGCTCAATCAGCCCATTCTCTTCTCATAGTCATGCAGTCGGGGAAATGGTTGGGTCAAACTGACCTCTCTCTCAACTTATGCTTCCTTCCGGATCCCGCCTTTCTCCCACTTTTTCAAACGTCCTTTCTTTTGCCTTCTTGGTGGCACAAGGGACCGGCTATCCTCCCCTTGTCCTCTTTCTCCACCAAGTGAGGTCTGATTTCGGTCACCGTCCGTACCCTGGCAATGTTTCCAAGTGAGGGGAGAAGGGTTAGTCATATTCCAAGTGAGGGAACGAGAGAGAAAGAGAGAGAGAGAGAGAGGGAGAAGGCAAGGTAAAAAAAAGGGGCGAAAGAAGAGTCTAGAGGAGGAAGGAGGGAAAGGGGGGAGAGGGAAAAGGAGAGAGGGAGGGGGAGATGAGGAGAGAGGAAGGAAGGGAGAGAGAGAGAGAGAGAGAGAGAAGACAAGAAGAACTCCTAATCAATTCAGCTCCCCGTAACAGCAACCAAATGTCGATCACCCGTCTCATAGTGAGAGATTGAATAAGTATATTTTGGAATAACATGACAATAAGAAGCTAGACAAATGGAAATCACATGCTCATAGGGAAGGGGATCATCTAAACAAGATCCGGAACATCACATCAAACATGAACTTTTGACAAGGAGAGGTTAGACTAGTGGAAGCACATGCACAAAGAGGAGAGACTAACTAAGTAGAGATCCGGATCATGGTCTTAACAAGGAGTGGCTAGACTAATGGAAGCACATGCACAAAGAGAGGAGACCAACTAAGAAAAAGGTCCGGAACGTCTCATCAAACATGAAATTGACAATGAGAGACTAGACTAGCGGAAAACACATGCACAAAGAGAAGAGACTAACTAAGTAAAGATCCGGAACATGAACTTTGACAAAGAGAGACTAGACTAGTGCTAGCACATGCACAAGGAGAAGTGATCAACAAGGTGAGGATCCGGAATACCACATCAAACACAAACTTGACAATGAGAGACTTAGACTAGAGGAAAGTACATGCACAAGGAGAAGAGACTACTTAAGTAAAAGATCCGGAACATGAACTTGACAATGGGAGACTAGACTAGTGGAAGCACATGCACAAAGGAGAAGAGTTCAATCAAGTAAAAGATCCAAAATATGATCTTGACAATGGGAGACTAGACTAGTGGAAGCTCATGCACAAAGGAGAAGAGCTCAATTAAGTAAAAGATCCGGAATATGAACTTGACAATGAGAGATAAGACTAGTGGAAACACATGCACAAAGGAGAAGAGTTCAACAAAGTAAAAGATCCGGAACATGAACTTCACAATGAAGGATTAGACTAGTGGAAAGCACATGCATAAAGGAGAAGAGTTCAACAAGGTAAAAGACCCGGAACATGAACTTGACAATGAAGACTAGACTAGTGGAAGCACATGCACAAAGGAGAAGAGTTCAACTAAGTACAAGATCCGGAATATAAACTTGACAATGGGAGACTAGACTAGTCGAAGCACATGCACAAAGGAGAAGAGCTCAATTAAGTAAAAGAACCGGAACATGAACTTGACAAGGAAAGATTAGACTAATGGAAACACATGCACAAAGGAGAAGAGTTCAACTAAGTAAAAGATCCGGAACATGAACTTGACAATGGGAGACTAGACTAGTGGAAGCACATGCACAAAGGAGAAGAGCTCAATTAAGTAAAAGATCCGGAATATGAACTTAACAATGGGAGACTAGACTAGTGCAAATCACATGAATAAAGGAGAAGTGATCAACAAGGTAAAGATCCGGAACATGAACTTGACAATGGGAGACTAGACTAGTGGAAGCACATGCACATGAAGGGAAGATCATCCGGATCATTCCACTAAGTACGAACAAGACAATGAGTGACTAGACTAGTGGAAAGTACATGCACTCGAAGGGAAGATCATCTGGAACATCACACTAAGTATGAACAAGACAAAGAGATGCTACACTAAATGGAAAGCACTTGCATATGAAGGGAAGATCAACCAGAACATCACACTAGGTATGAACATGTTATTGAGTAATTAGACTAATGAAAAACACATGCATATGAAGGGAAGATCAACCGGAACATCACCCCAGTATGAACATTATAATGAGTGACTAGACTAATGAAAAGCAC